GAGACAGTCTCACTCTGTCATCCAGGCTGGAGTGCAGTGGTGCAATCTCAGCTCACTGCAAACTCTGCCTCCCAGGCTCAAGCAATCCTCCCACCTCAGTCTCCCAAGTAGCTGAAACTATAGAGGCTTGTGCCACCATGCCCAGCTAATTATTGTATTTTTGGTAGAGATGGGGTTTCACCATGTTCCCACACTGGTGTTCAACTCTTGGGTTCAAATGATCTGCCTACTTCGGCCTCTCAAAGTGCTAGGATTACAGGTGTGAGCCATCGCATCTGGCCCCATCATTTCTTTTTCTTGCTCTATAACTACTAAGCATAATGCTAAAAATAATAAACTAAGAAGGTATATAATTTCCAAATTCTTTAATGAGTATGGATTACTTTTACAACTAAAATAATAATGGTAATAGTAAAAGAAAAAAGAATTTAAAATATTGATTAGTGAAAGCTCTGGGCATTAGAGTACTTGTAACTAAGTAGCTAATACTACATACATTTCTAAGCATATGTATAAACTACTACCTGGATCATTAGAAATAAGCCAAGAAGTATATGGCATATTCAATATATATTTTCAAACACTAAAGTCTAAGCATGAAAATCTAATCCGAGTCCTATTTTAGTCAATGGTTTTAATATCTTTAAAAGATCAAATGTGTACAATGTGTCTTGAGAAGGAATCAATTTACCTGGAGTTTGTACTACAGCATGCAAATTCTTTTCTTGAAGTTGTTGAATTCTTTCATTCTTAGCTTTGCTCTCTTTCTCCAATAGTTTGAGTTTATGAACATACTGGTTATTCAGAAATTTCAGATCAGATGTTTCACGTGCACACTTCTTCAATGAAGTTTTCAACTCTTATAAGGAAAAAGATTCAAAGACCATTTTAAAGGTCAAGAAATCCATGAAGTTTTTTCATTTCACAAAATACAAAAAGTCATATCTACTTAAAAGTCTCCATCTGCTTCTTATGAATGCTTTTTTTTGGGGGGATGGAGTTTCGCTTCTTACCCAGGCTGGAGTGCAATGGCGCAACCTCGGCTCACCACAACCTCCGCCTCCTGGGTTCAGGCAATTCTCCTGCCTCAGCCTCCTAAGTAGCTGGGATTACAGGCACATGCCACCATGCCCAGCTAATTTTTTTGTATTTTTAGTAGAGACGGGGTTTCACCGTATTGACCAGGATGGTCTCGATCTCTTGACCTCGTGATCCACCCACCTCGGCCTCCCAAAGGGCTGGGATTACAGGCGTGAGCCACCGCGCCCGGCCATGAATGCTTTAACTGAAGCTTATTATTTCTTCTACTATCTAAGCACAAAAAGAAATATTCATTTTTCAGCTACTGTTGAGCCTAATGTACATCACAACTTTTGCTCCAATAAATTGGGTCTGAAGCTAAAGGATTTTTAATTCACACCATGTATTAGATAAAATTTTCTACTGAATATAAGAATAATTCACACTAAGATAACCATATAATTACCTTTTCCCTACTACCTTTGAAATCATCCTATTCTACTTGACAGCTCAAAGACTGACTGTAAAACAGCATGATACATGGTTTTCACCTCATTTACTACTTTTATTTTCAGTAAGGGAAAAACAAAAGTTGTTTCAAGAACATTTCTTCAATTCCAATTTAATATTCTCTATGGCAATTTTAATTCTAAAAATCTAATCCACGTACAGTGAAGACTATCATAGCTATAGAATGCACATTTATTTTTCATCTCAGGAACTCTTCAACATACCCCACAGTATTTCAGGAGATATTAGCAGAAGGACTATCAAATTTTCTTTCTTTTTTTTTTTTTTTTTTTTTTTTTTTTTGAGACAGAGTATTGCTCTGTTGCCAGGCTGGGGTGCAGTGGTGTGGTCTTGGCTCACCGCAACCTCTACCTCCCAGGATCAAGCAATTCTCCTGCCTCCGCCTCCCGAGTAGCTGGGATTACAGGTGTGCACAACCAAGCCCGGTCTTTTTTTGAGACAAGTTTTCATTATGTTGCCAAGGCTGGTCTCAAATTCCTGGGCACAAGCAATCCTCCCACCTCAGACTCCCGAGTAGCTGGGATTACAGGCACACAGCATCCAGCTGCAGAACTACCATATTTTCTAATTGATCGCTTTAAAATGAGACATTAGCCTTTCCTTCATATAAAACAAAAAGGACAAAGACATTGCATTTTAAAAATTACCAAATTTTCACTTACCTTTCATGTGTTGGTCTGAATGTTCTCTCAGTTTCATTAACTCTAGGTACAATTCATTATTTTCTCTACTCAATCTTGCATTTTCAAGTTTATAGGGTTCCAAAACAAAATCAAAATTGGCACTGTCTTTTTCAGCTTTCACAGCAGATAATTTTGATTGCCGAAGGCTCTCTGTTGTATGAACTAAGTCACTAAAAGAACAGAAAATTTAAATACCAGGAAACATTTCATTAACTTTCTAACAACTAAAAACATTTCTAAAGAGTCATGTGCCACATAATAACATTTTGGTCAACAACAGACCACATACAGGAAGGACAGTAGTCCTATAAAATTTATAACAGGGGGAGCTGAAAAATTTCTATTGCCTCATGAGATCCTGGCCATTGTAACACTGTAGCACAGCATAATATCTTTTCTATGATTACCTATGTTCAGATACACAAATAGGTACCACTGCGTTATAGCTGCCTATAATATTCAGTGTAGTAACACGCTGTGCAGCTTTGTAGCCTAAGAGCCATAGGATACATACCATATAGCCTAGGTTTGTGGTAGGCTAAACTATCTAGATTTGTGTAAGCACACCCTATGATGTTGGTACAATGACAAAATAACCTAATGAACGACACATTTCTCAGAACCTATATCCGTCATGAAGCTATGCATGACTGTATTTGAAGACCAGTGAAGCAGACACAGAACTTAAGGGGGGAAAAAAGAACTTAAGGGAAAATTGTCTCTCAACTATATCAGATACCCAAAAAACTATAATTCTATTCACAGAGAAAACCCTCAGAAACGTTTACTTTGAACAGTACAGCATGAGTGGTGACCTTTAGAGTTCTGCAATGTGGAAGGCCTGGACTGAGGACAGTGAAAAAACAGATGAGCTTCAGATGGTTTAAAGCCTTTTAGAAAATCTACCCTTTTATTTACTGAAGCATGAAGTTCAATCAGAAATAAGGTAAGTGGATTAGGAATCTTAAAACTGTATTTTTGTCTTTACCTGAAAAGTTTTTCTACCAAAGGTAAACATTCCACTGTCAGAGTCTGGCGGTATCCCAGCTGATCCAGTCTTTTTCTAATATTAATATACTTTCTTTCTACAGCTGTAGTCATCTTGTCTTCCAAATAAGTTGTATTCACTTCCAAAAATTAAAGTCCTGAGAGAAAATAATAAAATATCGTTATATTATAGCTATAATTGTTGTTTCACAATAAGGAGATAAAATTCTTTTAATATGAAGCAATTATTTTTTGTTTTTCTTCAGGTAGGTAGCCTTGTAGAAAATTCAGATTTAAAATCGATGCTTATGATATTCCTGTTGCTGGATTAAAATAAATATTTCTTCATACAACTAAATGTTAAAGTTAAAACAATAAAGCTTCCAGGAGAAAACAAAGATTTTTCCTAAGCCTGAAGTAGGCAGAGAATTCTTGGAGAGGCCTCTTTTAAAAGCACTAAACATAAAAGATAAATTTGATAAATTAGACTTCATCAAAATTTAAAATGTCTGCCCATCAAAATACTCAATTAAGAAAATAAGGCAAACCAAAGAGTGGGAAAAAATATTCACAATATCTGACAAAGAATTTGTAGAGAGAATATAAAAGGAACTCTTATAGCTCAATAATAAGACAAACATCCCGATAATAACATTAATTTGGGCTAAAACTAAAATTTTGTTGTGCTAAAGACTTGAACAGACATCTCGCATAGGTGTCTGAACGGGAATAATCATATGAAAAGGTGCTCAACAGTAGTCATCACAGAAATACAAATTAAAACGACAAGGTACAATTTCTCCCAAACTAGAATGACTAAAATTATAAGGACCGGCAATAGCAAATGTCACAAAGATCTACAGCAACTAGAATCTTCACACATTGCTGACAGGAGTATAAAATCACTTTGGAAAAAGTCTGGCAGTTTTTTATAAAGTTAAACACACTTCTAGGCTGTAACCCTATGATTCTATTCCCAGGTATTTATGGAAATAAAAAATATCCACAAAAAGACTCTACAAGAATGTTCACAAGAGCTTTACTCATAGTAGACCCAAACTGGAAACAACCTAAACCCCCATCAACAGCAGAAAGGATAAACTATATTTACACAATGCAATACTAAGGGATAAAAGGAACTACTGATACAAATCAACAGTATAAATCAATCTCAGAAACATTATTTGAGCAAAAGAAACCAGGCATACACTGTATGACTCCATATACATGAAGTTGATGAACAAGTAAAATTAAACTATGGGGACAGATATTAAAACAGTAGTTGCCTGGGGAAGTGAAGCGGTTGCGATTGTCAGAGTTAAGAGAGAACCTTTTAGGGTAATGAAAATATTACATTGATTGGGGTAGTGATTACACAGGTGTATTTACATTTACAGAATGTTCTTTTCAAATAGTACACTTAAGATCTATGCGTTTCACCATGTCAATTTCACTTCAATTAAAAAAAAAAAGACACAAGTGCCTCTGTACAAGTCTGTCCTTGTCTTTTTTTTAATATTTATGAATATATTCCTATCAATCTGCCCTAAAATGGACTTTTCCAAAGATCATTTCTTTTTTATATATATTTTAATTTTTACCTTTTTTAGAGACAGGGTCTTGCTATGTTGCCCAGGCTGGTCTCCAACTCTTCAGTTCATGCTATTCTCCACCTCTGCTTCCCAAAGTGCTAGGTTTACAGGTGTGAGCCAATACACTCAGCCCAAAGATAATTTCTTTAGAAACTTCGCTCTTTTCTAACCTTTGCTAACTGTAGTCATGACAGTCATAATTCTAATCCAAGTAAAAATTTTGTTTTATATCGGTTGTTCTCCACAATATATAAAAAATACATTACATGCATGAGCCTACATGTAAAAGTCAAACCCCACAGCTACCCTGGGAGGGAGAAAGATCAATGATATCATCCCTACTTAACTCTTCCAAAACCACGGGGCCTCAAGAAAGTAACTATTCCACAACCACGGGGTCACAAAGTAGGTGGGCGGTCATCAGAGACCAGGTCTTCTAAGTCCCGGCCCAGCACCCTGGTTTCTGTACCATGCTGCCTCAACTTACCAGATCACTTTTAAATTAGTCGTTCTCTTTGGCTACTCCTTTCTATAAATTTTTCTCCTTGCTCTTGTTAACTTTTTCTAAATGGCTTCCTCATGGATTTCCTAGGTTCCTTCCACAAGAGACACCTAAGTGATGCAGGGTTTTCAGGGAAATTCCCTCAGACATCAGAAATACACCTGACAAATTCAGATGCATTACTAGCAGGTTGTAAACTTGCAGGGCGTGCACCACTCAAACATTTCCCCTCTTTGCTACCAAGTCCAGTTACCCAGAGATAATACCGCCTCATATCCTGCTTTGGCAGGGAGAGAATGAGAATAAATATGAATCAATAAATAATAACCAGGGCCTCAGGACAGATTAAAATCCTTCCAGACAAAAACATGTTAGGCCGTCCTCACCCATGCACTATTGTCCTCCCACATAATCCCCATCCAGACATGGAGGCTATACTCTTTTAAGTTTCCAGAGAAGAAACATAAAAGGTTAGGTTTGGGGGGGAAATCCCCCATACATATATGTGTAGAAGTATTCATCTACTTAACTCTGGGGGTTGACGTCTGAAAACCAGTACATTTAATTTTTACAAAAACATTGCTGGGTGCATGTACGTGTGCATAGGAGCTAAAAACATAAACAAGAAATCCCAAACGACAACAAAGGACAACCCGTTAGCTGTGGTTATCTCGGAGTCCTCCCTTACTGAACTCAAAGGTTGAAAAGCCGTGGTGATGCTTCAAAGGAGCTGGGCAAAGATTAATTAAAAGCTGTCGTTCTATGCTTTGGGACATTTTTGTTACAAAGAGGGTGGGTGATTGTTACGCTGACAGGGCATTTTAATGTTTAAATCGATCCATTGGTCAACAGCAAATCTGTCTGCACGGCCTACACTGACGCTCCGGGACTAGCCGGGCCCAAGCTCTCCCCCGGCCAATCTCCGGTTTGCAACTTTACCGTCGGGTGTTGACGGGAAACTGGTGTGGAAGCGGGGCCGGTGCGAAGAGTCCCCGCGCCCCTCCCCGGCAGGTCGGGCCCGGTCTAGCCCCACTTCCTCCGGCGGCCGCGCGGCCTCCCGGCAGCGCCCAAACCCGGCCCGCGGGGACCTCCCGGAAGGCAAAGGCGCCGCCACTACCGCCGCCGCCGGCGCCCTCGCTTCCGCGGCCGGACTCACCGGCAGCTACAGCCGCCGTTCCCTCCGCCTCCAGCCGCATGGCCCTCGGGTATCGAGTCCCCCACTAGCTCCTTCCGCCCAGCCGCGGGCTCCGGCGCTAGAACAGTTTGAAAATGGCGCGGAGGGACGATCGCGGCCGACACGGAGGAGGCGCCGCGGTTGCCTCGGTAACGGGAGCGGCGGACGATGCGCGGCGCGCGGCGGGGACGCGCGCGGCGACCGTGGCGGCGCCCTGGTGCCCGGAAATGCAACGCCCGGACACAGCGAGGCCACGGCGCCCCCTGGAGGTCGGTGCTCGCGGCCGGCAAACGCCACACCTCAGCTGAAGCCTGAGCCATTCTCTTCTGTCAGCCAGATGTGTGGATCTCCTACTGTGTGCGGGGCGAAAACGCCGCCCCATTACTGGTTCCTGCGGCGGAGTAGCCTTCACCTGCAAGGTGAACACCTGCTCACCACGTAATCCCCAAACGCAGATATCAAATTGTCCCTGCAACTTTGCCTGACAACCACCCAATGCAATTAATTGTCCCACAATCGTATCTCCCTGAGGCTCTGTGTAGAACCATAGAATGCATACATCAAAACACAGTCATTTGTTGATCTGTCTCTCCCTGCCGCCCTCAACTGTGAATTCCTTGAGTCAGAGACTATTTTACTCAGCAAAACATTTGTCAGTGGAAATAAATTGTTTATAGGGCACGCACAGATGGAAAACATCTAGTAAAACCCTAAAATTCCCTTTCACTTCTGAAAATTTCCCAGATGATCAGGAGTTCCATTCTTTCCTGTTTACTTTTCTTCCAAGTAGGCCTTCTGAGACAGGAGAATAGGGAAGGAAGTCAGAAGACTGGCCAGCGGCCCCTTCTCAGGAAAACAAGTCTCCACCTGACAGGGAAGCTGAAGCAATTAACCAACCCTTTCTGCAGTAAACGAATCTGGTATAAGCTGGAATGGGACAATCCCTGAAAGAGGAGTATGCACATTCGGGGCAAAATGTGTCCTTAGGATAACCTTTTATTATAATAAGCTCCTTAAAGCTCATACATACGAAATGCATATCATACATACACTTAAAATTATGGCAAACATGCGCAGGCGCACTAAGAGAGAAAAACAGGAAAACGGGTATGACAATTACAGGAAATCCCCTCCCTAAGAGTTACGGAAGAGTAGGACGTGAGTATAAAAGAACAAACGCTATATTAATCCAGGGCCGGTACCACCAGAAGATCAGCTCGTTCCTCTCTCTGGAACATCCTTTGCCTAATAAATCTTGCAGGGTGGTTATTAGTGTGTTTCATCCAATTCTTTGTTCATAACACCAAGAACCTGAAACTCCAACTTCCAATCCAGTAACATTTTGGTGAGCCCGTCAAGAGGTAAGCCCAGAAGAACTGGGAGTTTTTATTTTCTTTCTTTTTTGCCTCAGCTCTTTTGCTTTGGTTTAAAGATGCCTTTTGCTGGCATGGGTTGGGTAGTTAATAGCCAAAAAGGCGCCGGACACTTGAAGACTCCGGTCACAAGATAATCTGATTGGGGAATGGGGCAAATAGGTCCCATGGGGTGTAAGATCAATCCCTGCAATGGTGAAGTGTATTTTTGTGTGGCTATAATATTACATTATTTGCTGCTTGTTTTAATTTTTTTTCTTTTCTTCTTTTGTGTTGGGATAACATGTTTAGACCAACTAGAGATATACTCCAAACCCAAAGGGCCAGGACAATAGATAACTGACTATGGAGAGCACAAGGGCTAGCATGAGCCCGACGATTAGGGCCTACCACCTGGATAAGGAGAATACCCTGCTACTTCTGTGAGGGACCAGATCTAGATTGTTTTAGTTTAGTGGATCTGGTGCTAAAAGAAAACTCCTGGTGGAGGCTCTTGGATCATTGCATAAATTGCGCAGTGGATCCATGGGGAAATCACTGTGCCTGGTTTATCTCACATTGTCAGAGGGCATTCTGCTTCCTTATTGAGAGGCCAGTCTCTCAAATTTAAACTAGGCAGTCTGCAATTACTGGCCCTTCAAACTATAATTACTACAATAGTTAAGGAAACCATTTGGAAAGAAACTGTTTTGGCCAGCTTCAGGGGTGCTAAAAGCCAAAGGTTAAACCCAGGAACTAAAGGGAAACTTATCATAGATCACCAATTATGGCCGGATTCTTCTTCAAGTGGCACTGGTGCCCACCTAAGGCTAGAGAAGTCTAGCACTCAGAAGACATGTCCATTTGGGGGATACCCCAATGGACCAAAATTACAGTCCAGATCCCTCAAAAGGGGACACCCTGAAGGGAGACTCTAGATGTAAACTCATGAACCTGTGAGACTCCCTTCTTCTTTTTTTTTTTTTTTGAGACAGAGTCTCACTCCGTCACCCAGGTTGGAGTGCACTGGCACGATCTCGGCTCACTGCAACCTCTGCCTCCTCAGTTCAAGCGATTCTCCTGCCTCAGCCTCCCGAGTAGCTGGGACTACAGGCACATGCCACCACGCCCGGCTAATTTTTTTTTTTTAGTAGAGTTGGGGTTTCACTGTGTTAGCCAGAATGGTCTCGATCTCCTGACCTGGTGATCCGCCCGCCTCGGCCTCCCGAGGTGCTGGGATTACAGGCATGAGCCACCATGCCTGGCCGAGACTCCCTTCTTCATTTCCACAGATTAGTCATGAGAACCACTCCTTCAGTCCTGCCTGACTCCCCTCTCAGCTGCATCCTCAATAATTAGAATCAGTTTGACCCTGAAAACCTATGAAAGAAATGCCTAATATTTTATTGTAACACAATTTGGCCTCAATTTCAGCTAGGGAGTCAAGAGCAATGGCCATTCAATGGAAGTCTGAATGATGACACCATCCTCCAATTAAATCTATTTTGTAAGAGACAAGGCAAATGATCCGAGATACCATATGTGCAAGCCTTCATTGCCCTATATCTAAAAAGCCCTCCATTTTCAAAGTCCCCAAAACTTCTCCACAGAAAGAAACTCCTAAAACTGAGCCGGATACTATAGATAACCCTCTCTTGCAAGGGGTACATATCTGTCAGGGCAAACAACAGCCACCTCCCTATAATCCAGGTCCAAATACATCCTAAGCTTCAAAACAATCACAAGAGTCAAGGGTCCTAGCAAACCCTTCCCATACTAGCTTAGGAACACCATATTCAATGATATCACCTGCCCTGTTACCTCTCTGAGAATTGGCAGGAACCGAGGGTCATAACAAGGTATAGGTACCCTTCTTAGTAACTGATATCCAACAATGTAAGGAAAAACTGTGCAGTTACTTAGAAAACCTTAAGAAATTTGCCGATGGGTTCCAGAGTTTGACTTTGACTTTCAACCTTTCTTGGAGAGACATGCAATTCATTTTGGCAACCTGTTGCACACTTCTGGAAAAGGAATGAGTTTTTGAGGCTGCTAGCCAGGACACTGATGAATTGTTTTGCATGTAGCCTGCAGGGCACCAGACTGGGAGCAGATATAGTCCCCACAACTGAACCCAACTGGAAATGTAATACCCCCATAAGAATGAATAATCGAACTAAATTTCTTGAGGCACCCATGAGGGGAATGAAAAAAGGAGTGCATTAAACTATGATAAGCTTAGGGAGATCACTCAGGGGAAAGAAGAGAATCCAGCCATGGTTTTTTGGGTTTTTGTTTTGTTTTGTTTTGTTTTTTGAGACAGAGTCTCGCTCTGTTGCCAGGCGCCAGGCTGGAGTGCAGTGGTGCGATCTCGGCTCACTGCAACCTCTGCCTCCTGAGTTCAAGCAATTCTCCTGCCTCAGCCTCCCAAGTAGCTGGGACTACAAGCGCGCCACCATGCCCAGCTAATTTTTGTATTTAAGTAGTGACGGGGTTTCACCATGTTGGCTAGGATTGTCTCAATCTCTTGACCTAGTGATCCGCCAGCCTAAGCCTCCCAAAGTGCTGGGATTACAGGCGTGAGCCACTGCGCCCGGCCCATGTTTTATAGTAGACTAGAAGAAGCCTTTGAAAAATATACAAACTTAGATCCTGCTTCTCCTGAAGGCAGGATATTAATGGCACAATATTTCACTAGTCAATCTACCCCAGACATTAGACGTAAGCTCCAGAAGCTGCAAATGGGACCACAGACTAATCAAAACCAGTTCCTTGACACCACCTTTATGGTGTACAACAATTGTGAACTGCAGGAAGGAAAAGGGGAGCAAAGTAAAAAAAAAAACAGCAAGCCAGAATTATGGCAGCTATCATTCATGATGCCCTGAATGCCCAAAAAGCATCCAAGAGAAACACAAAGGGCCACAAAGATAATGCTAGCAAAGACTCTTGCTTCAAGTGCAAAAAAAAGATGGGCATTGGGGAAAGGATCATACTAAGCTCCCACCGTGCCCTGTCATAAACATGAAGGCATCAGTCATGACCCTTGGCACTGGCAAATTGACTTCCCCTGCTCCCACCAAGGTGCTTAATTGGTCAAAACTCTGGCAGTCTAAAAGGAGGAGTTAGATGAAGACCGAAGTGGCCTGGAGCCTTCCTTACTGTCCCTGTCCAGGAATATCATCATTACTATTGAGCAGCCCTGGGTAACTCTGGATATCACGGGCACCCAAATTTAGTTTCTCTTTGATATAAGGGCAAATTACTCTGTCCTTACTGCATATGCAGGAAAACTTTCCTCCCAGTTCATGAATGTTATGGGAATGGAGGGGAAGCCAAAAAGATCCTTTACTCCTCCTTTAACTTGTCAATTTGAGAAGCAAATTTTCCAATAGGAGCTTCTAGTAATACCAAGCTGCCGAGTCCCCTCGTTGAAGGCAGAGGGCATGGTTAAAATAGAGGAATTACTACCATATGAACATTGCAGGATTGATGATGGTTGGGTAAGTAAAGTGTCCCAGACCACATTAACAAAAAGGTTAACCCACTAGCTTGGTATACCAGGAAACCAGGGAAAGCCAAAATGGCAAAGCCAGGCAAAATGCAGCTTAAAAAGACTCCAGCTATTTTCCGAACTGAAAATGATATCCAATTAAGCTGAAAGCCCATCATTCAAGAATTGCTAACTCATGAACTTTTAAAGCCTTGCAATTTTCCCTGCAATACTCCCATTTTACCCATCTTAACTTGAGGGGAATTTCAGCTAGTACAGGATCTCAGAACAATCAAGGAAGCTGTTATCCTCATCCATCCATTGGTGGCAGAACCATACACTGTCCTGGATCAGATGCCAGGGGATGCAAAATGGTTCTTGGTCCTAAACCTGAAAGATGCTTTCTTTTCCATTCCTCTGGCCCCAGAATTTCAGTACCTTTTTGCCTTTGAATGGGAAAATCCAGATACCAAAGAAAAATAATACACACGGACAGTGCTCCCTCAGGGCTTTCAGGATAGCCCCCATTTCCTTGCTTGAGCCCTGTAAATGGATCTAAGAGATTTACTATTGGAAAATGGAAACATACTTCAATATGTAGATAACCTTTTGTGTGTAGCCCAACCCAGGAAGCAACCGACTAAAATACTGTAAAAGTTTTGAATTTCATGGCAGACAGGGGATACAAAATGTCAAAGAAAAAATCTCAAATCACCCTCCAACAGGTCCAATATTTGGGTTGTATTCTAAACCCTTGGGCCCAGCAGATATCCCCAGAACAGGTACAAGTCATATGCAGTCTAGACCCCGTTATACTAAACAGCTTTATTCTTTTCTAGGAATGGTAGGGTTCTACAGGATATGGATACCAAATTCTGGGCTCATAGCAAAACCCCTTTATGAAACAATAAGGGGGCCATAAAATGAGTCAATGGAATGGACTCCAGAAGTGAGGGAAGCCTTTGTGAAGTTAAAACAGGCATTTAGCAAAGCCCCCATTCTTGTCATTCCGGACCTCACTAAGTCCTTTTCCTTGTATGTGGCAGAAGAGAAGGGCATGGATGTGGGGGTGCTAACCCCAAAATTAGGATCAGAACCCAGACAAACTGCCTATTTTTCAAAGAAATTGGATGTGTGGCCTTGGGATGGCCAAGCTGCCTGTGAGCAATAGCAGCTACTGCTATTTTAGTGGAAGAAGCCACTAAAATCACCGTAGGTCAACCACTAGAAGGTTTAACTCCACATCAGGTGAAATCAATCTTGGAAATAAACGGGCATATTTGGATAATGAGGAAAAGGTTAACCAAGTATGTGGCTATGCTCTTATACAATCCAGAGGTAATCCTTAAAACCTGTAATACCCTGAATTCAGCTCCATTGCTGCTGACAGGCTCAATATTTGGTCATTCATGTGAGCAGGTCATCACACATACACATGTAAGCCAATCTGACTTAAAAGATCAGTCACTTCCAGACTCAGAGGATGACTGGTTCACAGATGGCAACAGCTTTGTGTCAAATGGGACATGCCAGGCTGGATATGCAACAGTAAATGACAACACCATCACTGAAGTCCAGTCATTGTCCCGGGGCATGTCAGCACAAAAAGTTCAAATAATTGCTCGTATCTGAGCCCTAATGTCAGGTAAAGGAAAAAAGCTTAATATCTATATAGACCCTTAATATGCATTTTTTGTGGTGCCGGCTCATGCTACAATTTTGGAAAGAAAGAGGACTACTAACTAGAAAGCACTCACCCATAAAGCATGGGCCCGAAATTCTCCGGTTGTTGGAGGCAAAACACGTGCCAAAAGCTGTGACTATAATCCGCTGTAGAGGGCATCAAAAGGACTTAGCTCCTGTAGCACAAGGGAACAAAAAGGCTGACAGGGAAGCAAAAGCAGCAGCCGTCAAGGCACAATCTTTAGCACTGCTTCCCTTCTGTGATTCCCCGATAGAACCTGAATACATATCACGGGAGGAATGGGTTTTAAGGGAGCAAGGCGGACAGAAACAAGGATCTTGGTGGTATATGGGATCAAAAGTATATCTCCCTCAAACAGCCCAATGGAAGGTTATAAGAAACCCTGCACAACTCTTTACAGATGGGGAGAAATGCCACTCTGGCGATGGCAAACAGGCTCTTTATCAGGTGTAATTTAGCCTTAGTAGTTAAGCAGGTCTGTCAAGCCTGCTCACTGTGAGCATTTAACAATCCAGGAAACAGAATGCCTCCACTAATAGAACCAGTCCAAAGAACGGGGACTTATTCTGGGGAAGACTGGCATTTGGACTTTATCCATATGCCAGCTTGCAGAGGATACAAGTTTTTTACCAGTACTGATAGACACCTTTACAGGATAGGTTGACATTTACCCTACTAGAACAGAAAAGGCTAATGGAGTTGTAAAAGTCCTCTTAAAATAATAATTCCATAGTTTGGGTTACCCCAAAGCCTCTAGAGTGATAAAGGCCCATCCTTTGTTTCCCAAATAACTTAGGGAGTGGCTAAGGTGCTTGGAATTAAATACTATTTACATTCAGCATAGAGACCTCAATCCTCCAGGAAAGTAGAAAGAGCTAATCAAACTCTAAAATAGGCACTAGCTAAGCTATGGCAGGAAACGCCAGAAACGTTGGTCAGCTTACTACCCATACCCCTTTTGAGAATCCGTAACTCCCCAAGGGCAAAAGTAAATATGAGCCCATAGGAAATGCTGTACAGGAGACCCTTCTTAACTAATGATCTAATAACTAATCCAGAAACATCTGGGCTAATAAAATACCTAGTTAATCTGGGAAAATTTCAATAAGCATTACAAAGGTTCTGGACCGAAAGCCTCCCCATACCAGGAACTAACCAGCAATCCAAGATTAGGTCAGGAGATAGAGTACTTGTTAAAACAGGGAAAGAGAGTTCACCCTCTCATCAGCTACAACCCAAATGGAAGGGACCATTGTCAGGGGTGTTAACCACACCCTCTGCAGTTAATGTGTTAGGATTAAAAAGTTGGATACATCTTTCCAGGGTCAAGCCTGCAATACATAAAGCTCCAGACCTGGAACCTAAAGCTCCCATCAATCACTACACCTTTGAACCTGTGGAAGATCCGATGTACCTGTTTAAAAGACATTCAAAAGATAAGTAAATACTTACCAACTTTCCCTGGTGTCTTTGTTGCATAGTTACTGTGGGTTAAATAATCCTAGTTATTTATATATAATATTTATCATTTAACTACTTGCTTCCCCCTCAATGGATATACTTTTTATGTCCATAATCCTATTTTCACCAATATTGGGGGTCCAGCCCCAATACCAAGTGTTTAAACAGATTCAACAGTTAGCCACGCTAACTAACTTGACTTCCTGTTACATTTGTACCTCAGGGTCACTATCAGTTGAAGTTTTACCACTACCATTAGAAGATATAGTCAAGGTGAATGCCAGAGTCACTGTTGCCACCCAGTCAAAAGCTACATATCCCAATCCAGCTGCGGAAAGCTTATTCCAAACAGTCTTAGCTCAGACCATAAACCAAGAAACATCCCAAATTTAAATTTTACAAATGCCTCAAATCCTGTAAGGGTTTTTCACAACCTAACCTCAGAGAGCCAATTCCCAATTTGTTTTACTTCCCACCAAGTGAGTGGGACCTTTGTGGGATCCCTAAACAATTGTTCATATGAGGTCGTCCTCAGCTGGACAAATCAAGAGAAACATTATAATTCCTCAGAAACAAAAATCAATTCATATCGCAAACCAGGAAAACACCACCAATTCCTTCTCCTTAAGTATCCTGATCCAAGAAAACCTCAATATACAAGTAATACCAATACTTCCAATATTTCCACTGGTTGGAATACAGTTTTAATCAATAATTCATCTTTGCCTCTAGCTCAAGCTTTGGCTTGGGGGATCCAAAGATCATTCTTAAGATTCCACCCCAGCTTGTCTTTCCAGTCCAAGCTTACTGTGCAAGTTGGTGTGGCTGGAACACTTTTATGGGAACTCACTGGAACTTCCTCCAGTGGTTTAGGCCCACCTTTGGAACTAGCATCATGGGGATATAAGGTATCTTTGGACCCTGGGCAAGGATTGTATTTCATATGCGGAAATTCAGGGTACTTGAGTCTTCCAAGCCAATGGAAAGGGACTTGTGGCATTGCCGCTTTACTTCCAAGACTGTCTTATGCAAATGCTAGTACAAAATTCCCATTCCATATAAGACACAGCCATGCATCTGTAAAAAGGGCAGCTCCAGCGGTATTACATCCTTTGGCAACTGCAGTAACAGGACTTTTAGGAACCACACTCGGGTCCATTTCTCTTCACTTGTCTTCACAACAAACACAGGCTTTGGCAGAAATTACAACAGCTGTCCAAGAACAGCAACAACATATAGATTCCCTGGTGGGCATTGTCTTACAAAACAGGAGGAGGCTAGATCTCCTCACAGCTAATCAAACGGGATTATGCGTTTTTCGAAAAGAAGACTGTTGTTTCTATGTTAACTCCTCAGGCAAGATACTGGGACATCTGACTAAGGCAACTAATGTCATTACTAATTTAAGAACTGCAGAAAACACCCTAAATTCTGTTTAAACAATTGCAAACAGTTGGATAGCCCATTTTACAGGACCCTTAACTGTAATTCTTCTGTTGTTAATTTTTGGCCCTTACACTGTAAATTTGTTAACCAGATTTATTTCTTCCTGTTTAGAATCTATCAAGCTACAAATGGCTCTATTGCCTGAAGCCCCAGACATCATCATACAAGAAATAAGTCTAGACTTCCTAATTTCCTGCTGGATAGAGCAGGGTGAGAGTTCTGTGGTCCCCTGTTAGGTAGGGCCAACAGTCCCACTCAGCCGGAAGCAGCTATAGAAGAAAGAACTTCGACCCTCAGCAACCTGTAGAGATTTATGGAGACCACATCTCTCAGAGGGAATTGAGGCAGGAGAATAGGGAAGGAAGTCAGAAGATTAACCAGGAGCCCGTTCTCAGCAAAACAAGCATAAGGCACCACCTGCTAAGGAAATTGAAGCGATGAACCAATGCTTTCTGCAGTAAACATATCTGGTATAACCTGGAATGGGACAGTCACTGAAAGAGGAGCACGTGCATTAGGGGTAAAATGTGTCGTCAGGATAACATTTTATTATAATAAGCTACTTAAAGCCCATACGTATAGAATGCATATCATACATACACTTAAAATTATGGAATGGCAGGCATGCGCAGGTGCACTAAGAGAGAAAAACAACAAGAACACTGATATTTCAATTATAGGCAACCCCCTCCCTACAAGTTAAGCAAGAGTAGCAAGGCGGTATAAACGAACAAAGGCTATGTTAACCCAAGGCTGATACCACTCGTGGACCAGCCCATTCCTCTCTCTGGAACATTCTTTACTTAATAAATCTTGCGGGGTCATTATTTGTGTGTCTCCTCCAATTCTTTGTTTGCAATACCAAGAACGTGGAACTCCAACTTCCAATCTGGTAACGCTTCCACTCTAAAAAGGTGCTTACTCTTTGTATGTCATGTAGCTGCTCTACTTGTTGTACCCATTCATCCATTAATGTTTCCACTTTCTGTGCCTCCTCTGTTTTTCTCATGCCTTAATGAGTTGTTTTATGGAATTTCTAGGAGGTAACGAGTTTGGTTGGATAGATGACTTTTGTACAACATCTTGCACGTGTACAATTTAACACTTTTTTGTGAACAACAGTTTTCTTTTTTGGAAAAGAGGTAGTCATAAACGCAAAATGGCTGTGCGACAGCCATCCAGTCAAGATTACTCTTCGGCTTCCCTTTGCCCCAAACACATACCAATTAGGAAATGTAAAAATAAAACCCAAAAAGGAAATGCAAAAAGGTTAAGTACGACCAAAGTCATCCGTGAGCTTTGCTCCAAGTGATATGGAACACCAGAGTCAGGGTCACTGCTGAACTCTTAAGGGCTGAGGTCAGGGTCTCTGGATATTTTAGGCAGTTCTCACACTGCTATTAAGAAATACCTAAGACTGGGTGATTTATGAAGAAAAGAGGTTTAATTGACTTACTAGCAAACTGATTTCAGCAACACATTTAAAAGATTATAATGATCAAAAGAGATTTACCCCAGGGATGCAAAGATGGTTCAGCATATGCAAATCAATGTGATACATCACATTAACAGAATGAAGGACAAAAACCATATGATTATTTCAATTGATGCTGCAAAAGCATTTGATAAAATTCAATATCCCTTCATGATAATCCTCAAAGAGCCAGGTGCAGTGGCTCACACCTGTAATCCCAGCACTTTGGGAGGCTGAGATGGGCAGACTGCTTGAGCCCAAGAGTTGGAGACCAGTCTGAACAACATGGTGAAACCTCATCTCTACAAAAAAAATACAAAAGTTAGCAGGTGTAGTAGTACATGCCTATAGTCCCAGCTGCTTGGGAAGCTGAGGTGGGAGGATTGCTTTAGTCCGGGAGGTTGAGGCTTCAGTGAGGTGATTATGCCACTGCACTCCAGCCTGGGCAACAAAGTAAGACCCTTTCTCAAAACAAACAAACACAAAAAAACAAAAAAAAAAAACTCCTCAAAAATGGGGTATAAAGGAACTACCTCTACATAATAAAAGCCATATATGACAGACCTACAGCTTGTATCATACTGAAAGAGGGAAAACTGAAAGTTTTTCCTGTAAGATCTAGAACGTGACAAGCATAACCACTTTCATCACTGTTATTCAACATAGTGCTGGAAGTCTTAGCTAGAGAATTTCAGAGAAGAGAATGAAATAAAGAGCATTCAAATTGAAAACGAAGAGGTAAAATTATCCTTGTCTGCAGATGATATGATCTTATATTTGGGAAAACCTAAAGACTCCACCAAAAAATTATTAGAACTGATAAAATTAGTAAAGTTTCAGGATACAAAATCAACATATGAAAGTCAGTAGTATTTCTACATGCCAACAGGGAACAATCTAAAAAAGGAATTTTAAAAGTAATCCCACTTACAATAGCTACAAATAAAATTAAATACCTAGGAATTACCTTAAACAAAGAAGTGAAAGATCTCTACAATTAAAACTGTAAAATGTATGATGAAAGAAATTGAAGAGGAAACACAAAAATGGGAAGATATTCCATATTCATGAATTGGAAGAATAAATATCATTAAATTGTTCATAATACTTAAAAGTAATCTACAGATTCAATGCAATCCCTGTCAATATTAATAACATTCTTCACAGAAATACAAAAAAACCTGAAATTTATATGGAATCACAAAAGACCCAGAGTAGCCAAAGCTACCCTGAGCAAAAAGAACAAAACTGGAGGAATCACAGTACTTGATTTCAAATAATACTACAGAGGTTTAGTAACCAAAATGGCATGGTACTGGCATAAAAATAGACCAATGGAGCAGAATAGAGAATACAGAAACAAATCCACACATCTGGAGTGAACTCATTTTTGACAAAGCTGCCAATAACATGCATTGGGGGAAAAGACAGTCTATTCAGTAAATGGTGCTGTGAAAACTGGATATCCATATGTAGAATGAACTAGACCACTATCTCTCCTTACATACAAAAATCAAATCAAAATGGATTAAAGACCAAACTATGACCTCAAACTATGAAACTACTACAGGAAAACAGTGGAGAGACTCTCCAGGACATTGGACTAGGCAAAGATTTCTTGAGTAATACTCCAAAAACACAGGAAACCAAAGCAAAAAAATATAAAATGGGTTCACATCAAGTTAAAAAGCTTCTGCACAGCAAAAGGAACAATCAAAAAGAGGCAACCCACAGAATTGGAGAAAATATTTGCAAACTACCATCTGGCAAGGGATTAATAACAGAAACTACACAGAGCTCAAACAACTCTAAAGGAAAAAATATAATCCAATTAAAAATTGGCAAAAGATCTGAATAGACACTTCTCAAAAGATGACATACAAATGGCAGACAGGTAAGATCAATCAATATCATTGGTCAGAGGAGAAATGCAAATCAAAGCTACAATGAGATATCTCACTCCAGTTAAAATGGCTTATATCAAAAGTGAGACAATAATAAATGCTGGAGAGGATATGAAGAAAAGGGACTGGTATACACTATTGTTGGGAATGTAAATTAGTACAACCACTATGGAGAAAAGTTTAAAGATTACTCCAAAAACTAAAAATAGAGCTAACATATGATCTAGCAACCCCACTGCCAGGTATATTCCTAAAAGAAAGGAAATAAGTATATCAAAGAGATATCTCCACTCCTATGCTTATTGCAGAACTATTCACAGTAGCCAAGGTTTGAAAGCAACCTAAATGTTCATCAGCTGATGAATGGATAAAGAAAATGTGGTACATGTACACAGTGGAATACTATTCAGTCATAAAAAAGAATGAGATTCTGTCACTTGCAACAAATGGATGGAACTGGAGGCCACTATGTTAAGCCAGGCAGAGAAAGACAAACTTCGTGTGTTCTCTCTTATTTGTGGGAGCTAAATTAAAACCATTGAACTCATGGAGATAGAGAGTAGGAAGATGGTTACCAGAAGTTGGAAGAGTAGTGTGTGTGGGGGGGGGGGGGGGTGGCGGGGGGGAAGAGAGGGTGAGGTAAGGATTGTTAATGGATATAAAAAAATAATTAGAATGAGTAAGATCTAGTATTTGCTAGCATAACATGGTGACTATAGTCAAAAATAATTTAATTGTACATTTTTTAAAAAGTGAAGAGTATAACTGGATTGTTTCAAAAAATAAAATACAAAGGATAAATGCCTGAGGAGATAGATGCCTCATTTACCTGATGTGATTATTACACATTCTATGCCTCTATGAAAATATCTCATGTACTCCGTAAATACATACACCTACTATGTGCCCACAAAAGTAAAAAATTTTAAAAAGAACGGGTGGGTATGAATGAGGACTAATCAGAAAACTTTGAAATTAAAGATATAGTCATCAAAATTTTTTTAAAATTCATTAAATGGGATAAACTCTAGAATACACACAGTTAAAAGAATTAGAGAATTTACCTGGACCCCAGTGAAGACAAAGAAATCAGCTATATGTAAAAGTAATTAAGGAATATAGATAATAACTTGAGAGGCTCCAAGAAGGCACTAGAGGGATATCAGCTATTGTAGGTCTAATGGCCTCCTAACGGTGTCTACACTCTCATGTGTGGAACCTGGGACTAGGGTACTACATGGCAGGAGGGATTTGGCAGATGTGATTATGATTAAAAGCCTTAAAATAGAGGGTATTTTCTTCAGTTCTGCAGGTGGGCCCAATATACTCACATGAGCCCTTAAAAATAGTGATGCGGGCTGGGCATGGTGGCTCAGGCCTGTAATCCCAGCACTTTTGGGAGGCTGAGGCAGGTGGATCACTTGAGGCCAGGAGTTCAAGACCAGCCTGGCCAATATGGTGAAACCCTGTCTTCTCTACTAAAAAACTTAAAAAAAAAATTACCTGGGCATGGTGTCACACACCTATAATCCCAGCTACTTGGGAGGCTGAGGCCAGAGGATAGCTTGAGCTCAGGAGGTGGAGGTTACAGTGAGCCGAGATCATGTCACTACACTCCAGCCTGGGTGACAAACTGAGATCCTGTTTCAAAAAAAAAACAAAAACAAAACAAACAAACAAAAGCAGTGAAGTATAAGAAGGCCTTGATTAAAAGGACATAAAAAGCTGGCTTACTGGCTCGAAAATGGAAGGGGCAGACTTCGAGGAATGCAAGCATCCTAGAAGCACTGAGAGAGCCTGTTTACAGCCAGCAACTGTTAACTGAACCTGAGCCCTACAGCTGTAGGAAACGGAATTCCTTACACCAACACGAATGAGAGTGATGAGAATGAGCGGGTCCTACCCCAGATTCTCTTATCTCTAGATAAGAGCCCAGGAATTTTAATTTAGGGAGTAGAACCAACCTAGAGTTCTGACCTGCAGAACTGTGAGATAATACCTGTGAGTTTTTCTAGCTGCTAAGGTTGGGATGATTTGTTTCTGTAGCAATAGAAAAAGAAATATAGCTGAGAAGTCAGGCTTGAAGAGATAACAGCTAAGTATTTTCCAGAACTGAATCAAGGCACAAATCTTCAGATAAGAAGTTTGCATAATCTAACTACAGAGAGTAGGTTAAACATGCAAGTCCTTTCAGCTCTCTCCCTCCTTCACTCCCCTAAAATTACAATAAAGGGATTAATTAATTAATTATTTGACAGAGTCTTGCTCTGTCGCTCAGGCTGGAGTGCAGTGGCACACTGCAACCTGCCTGCTCCTGGGCTCAAACAATTCTCCTGCCTCAGCCTTCTGAGTAGCCGGGACCACAGGCACGCGCCACCACACCTGGCTAATTTTTGTATTTTTTTGTAGAGACAGGGTTTCAACATGTTGCCCAAGCTAGTCTCCAACT